TACATGAAACAAAGAGAGAGAAAAGTACATGTTCTACTATTGGAGAATTAATCATTAAGAGAGAGATGAAAAAGATAAATGGTAGAGAGAGAGAGAGAAATTGTAGAGAGAGTGTTGGGAATACAATAGAGACAGAGAAGAGAAATTTAAATAAGAGCATTTTAGAGAGAGAGTTTTGCAAACGGTTGAGAGAGAGGATATAATTTTAAATGTTTAGAAACATTTAGAGTTAGTGAGAATATGGGGGAGGAGAGAGAAAATAGAGGAAAACCTTGGGTGTTAGAAACTATATTTCTGTATATTTGAGCCTTAGGCCCCTATGAAAGATTATTTCAAAATACTGCAGAGAATTCTCTCTTTATTGATTGAGTCATAAAGAGTATACAATACCCGTATAAATATACGACAAATAACAATTAAAGATAAATACCAACGGTTATGGATAACTACTAACTAATCTCATCATAATCAAGAGACACCTAAGAGATATAAATTATACATAAACATATCCCATTATGTATTCATAATGATGTATATCAATCAAGATAAACATACACATAATAGAAGCGAAGCTATGAAAGATAAAAATTATGAAATGTCGACAAGAGATATTTTAAGAATGTTGTAATAAGAGGTTTTAAGTAAGGGGGAGAGAGAGAGAGGTAGAAAGATTTATTGGGAAATAGATAAAAATATGAGTTACTTGATAATATGGGTGAGGAGAGAGAAGAAAGAGAAAAATATGGGGAGGTTTAGAGAGGTAGAGACATTTTAGGAAAGTTGTAATTGAAAACTTTTAAATAAGAGACAAAGAGAAAGAGGTGGAAAATTTTATTAGGGAAGAGAGAGAGAGAGAGAGGAGGTATAATGTTTTGAAGGAGGGAAACATAGGGGAGAGAGGTAGAGAAATTTTAGAAAAGTTAATTTATTAGGTGAGAAAAAAAATGGAGGTACTTAGGAATAGTGGTGAGGAGAGAGAAGAAAGAAAAACATGGGGGAGAGATTTATTATGATAGAAATTTTAAGAAAGTTGATTTATTAGGAGAGAGGGAGAGGAGGAATACGTAAATATTGGTGAACAGAGAAGAGAGAAAAATAGGGAGATTTATTAGGAAAGAGAAAATAAGGACACGTGGCACAAGAATAACAAGGGTGTTGCTCTCGCTTAATTTATACTAGTTGAATTATGTATGTTACACGCATGCCATTATTTGTATCTTATTAATTAACTAATCAGTGATCAAAGAAATTTATCACTAAAAATATGATTAATCACAAATCACGCCTTAGATAATAAGAAAGTTTTAACGACATGTCATTTCTATAAAACAAATCCTCCTAAAACCTTGGTTTCCTAAAATCGTGTTTTAAGAGATTCTCTCTTTCTCTACTCTTAATTTTAAATATTTTTGTATTGAAGGGATCTGTCAATATTAAATATTGGCGAACAATATATAGAAAAAATGAAACTAAAGAATCTTGATGGGCCCATAATCATGTTTATAAACCATAGACCTTAAGCCTTTGAGAAATCTAAATAATCAAAATAGGGACGGACGTCCTGCTCTCATCTGAAGTGCGTTAGCTCTTTTCCCAAGTTCAACTATATTTTCTAATTTTATGTCCAAATAGTAGAATGCTAGATTTGGTGTACGTTTTGGATTATATAACCTGATATAAATCTTTAAAATGTGGAAAATCATATTTTAGGTATCACGGTAGTGGTACTTTTGCATCCATTAAAATAGGAAAGGAAAAGAGATCTATGCAGCTCAGAATATAGATGACAAAAATCAACAATGAGATTAAACTATCTTATGATTGTTTTTTTTATGCATTAATTTTCAATATTCTATATGCTTTTAAATACGACTTTTAATGATTTCATATAATTTTAAAAAAAATTATATCCTACCCTCAGATTTTTATTACCTTTAATATTATTTCTAATTTTTAATTTTTTAAATTAATTAGTTTGTCCTCTTTTTTCAACTTTTTTTTTAAAATCTTTATATTTTAAATGTCATGTTTTAATTTTTAAATTATAATTTGACTAGTTTATATATATATATATAAACTCATCCGAACGCCTATAGGAAAAAATTAATAGTGATTTCGCCTACCCTCATCACCATCCAAACTTCATCGCATAATCACAGTTGCCTGGTAGTGTTTGAATTTTCATTTTTTTTCTACAAATCCAAATTACTTGAAATTTGGAGAGTGTGTACATCCTAATAAGGTGTACCTAATAAAAATATGAAACAAATAATTCAAAAAATATAAATTAACCAAAATATAGTATTTTGGTCAATTTATATTTTACGAATTATGTTTTTCATATTTTTATTAGGTGTGCCTCACTAAGATGTACACACGCTCCAAAATTCAGATCATTCATATTAGTAAAAAAAAAATCAAAGTTAAAAAAACTACTAAAATATTAATGAAAATTCGTATTCCCAAAGAGATTTGTAAAAAGTAGGTTTTGATACCATGGGATCAAAAAATCCAAAAAATAAGGTCATGTACAAATTAATTCAAAGTAGGTGCTTATGATATTTTAAAAAATAATTACATACCTTGGAAAAAACAAGATTTCTCTTACCTTTAAAGATTGATGTGCTTCTCATTGCAAATATATATATATATATAAAATTTATGTGGAAAGCTAATTAAAATTGTGAAGTAGAGTAAAAATTTGAAATTATTGTAATTGTTTGCAATTTTTTTTTATTAGTTTTACTTCAACTAGAACATCTGCAAAATAAGATCATGTACAAAACCCGAAGAATACCTAAAAAAATACAAACAAAAGTAATGCAAAAAAAAAAAAATTTCTACAACTTACCTTCAATAAGATGAATAGAGATGATGGAAAAAATTAAAAAAAAGGATTACTATGACTTATCTTCAATATGGGCTTTTTTAAGCTTCATCGAATGATAAATGATACCTGAATTATGTTGCAATTGAAAATTTCTATGTAGAAAAATAGGTGCGGACCCTATTTTAAAAAATAATTACGTACCTTGGGAAAAACAAAGATTAATGTGTTTCTCAATCTTCACAAAATAGAAAGAACACCTAAAAAATACCAGCATAGGTAATAAAATCAAATAAAATAAATACTTTGACTTACCTTCAATATACATACCTAAAAAAGATGAACCGAGACAATATAAAAGAAAATTAAATAAAAATAATTACTATGACTCTCCTTCAATATAGACTTTGTCAAGCTTCATCCAAGGGTAAATACTACATTTAAAATATTACAATTGAAAATTTATATGTAAAAAAATAGGTATTAACCTTTTTTCTCTTCCCAAAGAGATTTGTAGAAGTAGGTTTCTGACCATGGGATCAAATCTTCCAAACAATAAGATCATGTACAAATTAAATCAAGGTAAGCGCCTATGATATTTTAAAAAATAATTACACATCTTGGAAAATACAAGGTTTCGTTTACCTTTAAAGATTAATGTGTTTCTCATAGCAAACATAAAAAAATAATATTTATGTCGAAAACACCCAAAAGTTGTGAAGTAGAGTAAAAATTTAAAGTTATTTTAATTTTTTGTAATTTTGTTTATTATTATTTACTTCAAATAGAACATCTGCAAAATAAGATAATGTACAAAACACAAAGAACACCTAAAAAAAATACAAACATAGATAATACAAAAATAATAATAATTATAATATGACTTACCTTCACTATGACGAATAGAGATGATGGAAAAATTTAAATAAAAGGAAGCACTATGACTTACCTTCAATATGGACTTTGTTATGATTCATCCAATGGTAAATAATACCTGTAAAATATTGCAATTCAAAATTTCTATGTAGAAAAATAGCTACTAACGTTTTTTCAGTAGAGAATCACACTAAAACTAATGAATCTTGCTCCATGGAGAAAACACTAATAACTAAATTACTACAAATATTGATACCAAAGATAACTAAATTGTCACAAATAGCGATACCAAGGAAAAAACACAGGAGACGTACCTGATTAAGAGCAAAGAAGACGTATGTAGCAAAGAGAAAAAAATAACAAAAGATAGATAAGTAATTTTGATACAAAAAAACAGTGTTTTATGGACGTTTTATGGCCATCACGACCACTACAATAACAAAACTTGTACGATATTATTTCATCTAATTACATGAATAATTAAAAAAAGTCATTGATAGCTTGATTTTAGAAACCTAAAGAAAGAAACATTCAAAATTTGGTAAAAGAGAGACCACGTTGAGATAGAAAAAGAGAGAAACCACATTGAGGGAGAGAGGGAGATAGATCATGTTAAGAAGAGAGAGAAAAAGGGAGAAAGCAATTATATATGGGAATGGATTCACTTATCCCACAGGTTGATAGCTACAGTGATAACCAATAGTTCAGATTGAATGTGGGCCGATCTGATGGTCACGGCATTATTTCGTATTTGAATTTGTATTTATTTTTATAAAAATTCAAATCATTTTAAATTTTAGCTATTCATTTTTCTAATCAAGACGCACCTAATAAAAATATAAAAAAAAAATTCGTAAAACATAAATTGATCAAATTACTCCAAAAAACTTTCAAGGATTCAATTTACATTTTGTGAATTATTTTTTTATAGTTTTATTAGATTCTCTTATTTTTGAAAAATAAAACTTAAAAATTTCAAGTGATTTGAATTTGTATAAAAATAAAATAAAAATTGTAATTCAAAATGAGTTTGTGACCAATAGATTGGGCTTCATATTGAATTTGGATCATTGGTTAACGTTGTAGCCTTCAAGCCGACATTGACATGATGTTTTTTATTTATATATATATATATATATATATAAAAAAAAAGGGATTTGGTACGCGGCTTCGCCTATGGAGAGGTCGTATGCCAACGGTTGATGGGAGCTCGCAATTCAGATTGCTGGTGGCGTCCCATTTAAGAAACCCAATTTTTGCCTCTTCCAATGCCCTCCCTGTTTCCGTACAAAATTAATGCGTCCTAGCCCGTACACCTTCACCTTTCTCTCTCTCTCCCCGCTTTTCTCCTTCTCCCGCTCTGTCTCTTTGGTTGAGCAAATATCCCTGCCCCTTCCTTCTCTCTCCCTCCCCCCCCGTCGCTCTCTTTCTCTCTCCCCTGGCTGCAAAACCAACTAGAACCCACCCGCCCCATCTCTCTCTCGCTTGCGCGAGCAGCAAAACCAGGGGACCCGCTCCACACTCTTGCACTCATCCTCCCTCTCTCTCAGAAAAACCACGCCAGCAGCATGACTAGGGCAGCAGCGGCTCACTTGCTCTTGGAGAAAGGTACGTTATCTCTCTCACTACCTCTCTCCTTCACCCTCTCACTAAATTTTCTGCTAACCCTCTCTCCTCTCTGTAACTAGTAAGAAAACCTCCCTTTCTCTCTCTGAAAAAACTCTCAACCTCTCTCCCTCATCCTTCCTCTAAATCTATCTCTCTATGGCTTTTTACGTTATGCATTTTTTTTGGCTGATTTATGATAAAAAATTTGGTACTACTATGGATTAGGAAGATGGAGATCTTAGAGAATGTCTTGTGTATTTTTGTACTTGGTTTGGAATCCAAATCTTTGGAAGGTTGCAATATTGGAAGCAAGTTTAGCATGTGTTCATATAATTATGATAAATTGGAATGCTGGTCAGTTTTTATCAAGGATATCTCAAAAAAAAGTGTATTTACATAGATTTCTAGTTGTTTTGTCTCTCTTTATAGTAAAATCACAAAATATCAGGGGATAATTGTAAATTTCAGTTTCTGATGTAGTACATGACCCATTTTCTAGCAGCATGCGTCTCTCCCTCCCTCCCTCTCTCTTTCTACCTATCTCCCTCTGTTATTCCAAGAGAATGTACTCTTGCGGTGAGATTTTGAGAAGACATGTTAAGAAGTGTCTTAAGGTTATGGAGGATCATGTCTTGGATGTATTGACCCATGTTGCAGCAGGAAATTGCATAAGCGGAGATCTCTATTGACCCATGTTGCCCTATAAAACCCACTCTCTTTCTCTCTACCTATCGCCCTGTGTTATGATATTTGAAATTCAAGTTTTGTTTATTGCAGTGTCTTTGAATTGTTTACTTTCAATATGAATTACCTTATGTTGGTTCATTTTTTTTTTTTTTGTGCTGATTTCTGGTAAGAGATTTTCTTTTTTGCTGATTTATGATGAGAAGAATTGTTTTTTTGTTGACTATTACAGGCATAGAAATGCGATTATTTATTTATTTATTTATTTCAAGTCATATGGTTGTTCAATACGCGCACCCATCTGCTATGTTAGTGGCCACATTCATGGATTCCCTGTAGTTTTTATTTGTGGTTTCATTTTTTATTTATTTAGTCGACAACTTGATCTGTATGGAAATTTGAATATGAACACTTCGCTTATAAAAGATGATTTCCCAATGCTCTTGTAGGTTACAGAATGAGTAGTTTGGCAACTAGCAACACCATGTCCATTCCATTCAAGGTTTACGATGGTTTTGACCGACACTGTTTGGTGTACATTTCTCTTAGTACCGACAACCCTTATAGGAAGTACTACAAATGCAAATCCAAGTGCAAATCATGTCACAAATGGAATGTTTTATGTGATATGTATCATAGTAGCGGACATGATTGGAATAAAACATCATCATCACCATCGAATAATGAAACATATGGCCAATATTTTAGTAGATCAACAAAGACAAATTGCACAAGGGGAGACAAGCGCATTCTTGTTTATGTTTTAGCTTTGTCAGTCGTATTTATTATTGCATTAGTATGTGTCCTCTTATTTCCTTTCATCAACTTGTAATTTAAAGTGACCTGAAAGATATTGAGGGTGACTTTTTTGTTGATACCAATGTGAGAATGGGTTAGGATTGTTTGAAGCCTTGGTATCTATGTTTTTGTTTTTGGTATATGTCTTTGTTGTTATATTCATGTCTTTGTTGTTATATCCATGTCTTTGTTGTTTTTTTGTTCATTGTTGTTTTGCTGACACAATTGAGAAAGAGAGAGCACAGGGTATTGAACTTTCGGTATATGGATCTTTGAAATTGTTTGGGACTCAGGCCGCAATTCTGTTGAGAATATATATTTCTGATTATAATGCATCAAAGAGTATCTCTCTCTCTTCTCTCTCTCTCATTGTTAGATGAGGTTTTAGCCACTTTCGTTGGGCATTAGCTTGTGTGCTGAAAGGTCAAAAGGTATCCTTCAGAGCTCTACGTATTTTGTTGGTTATTATGTCATCCATGGTGTCCTCAATGTGGTATGCTCCTGAATTATTCATGATATTAAATTGTAACAAATTTTGAGCTGCCGATAATTACTCAAGATTTGAATTGTGCAATTTCCATCGGAAAAGAATAGACGACCATAATCTCTCTCTCTCTCTAACACACAGAGGCAACAACAACTCCAACATGACGATGACGACAACAAGAACATGCATCTGTAAATAGCAAACACTCGGTAGCCAAAGTAAAAAAGGACAAAATTCCATACACTCAGTATGATACCTAGATCAAGCTGCTAATAATAGAAGAAACCATGCCCAATTATGTTAATCAGACTAACAAATGCTGAAGGAAAGCATGTGGCCATCCCCTCTGCTTTTTCTATTCAAGTCATTAGAGAAATGTAGTACAAGAATATGCTCATGAAAGATTAGCTGTCGAGTAAGGATGCTGCATAGCTGCCATTGCCGACATCTTCTTTCGATGGTTCATACTGCTGCAGTGAGAGACAGACATGAATATAACAAGAACCTCAATGCCAATACGTACATACTCATCAAAGTTTTAATGAATAACAAAAACAACCTGGCCAACAATAGGTACATAATAACGGAAAACAAAGTCAGGGCCACAAACATAGCAACAATCTTAATGTGATTTAAGTTTGCTCTCATGAAAATGTCATTGAGACAGCCCACATCCACAATAAATAGCACTCTCACGAAGATGTCATTCACTGATGATGTTCCATGCTCTTGTCATGGACTGCTCTGCTCCTAGGGGTGTTGACACATCTTTGTCCCATCATCGGGGTTAGTGCACCTAAAGGCTTCAAGAAAAATGAATAAACTTCAAATGAGTTAAGAGATATTTTGTGACATAAAATGCATTTATATATGTACAGTCGTAGTTAAGCATTAGGGTACATCAGATGGAGACATGCATGACTTTTAAACAAAATTAACACATTGATAGTTAGACATATATGCACAATCTGTAGAATTCACCATATTTACATGTATGACAGAGCATATATTGTGATATAGCACTATAAAAGAAACTTGAAGTATAGTGCAAATACTATATACTACATCCAAGTAAAGACACTAGAATTATAGTGCAAACACTATATTATAGTGTGTTTATTACTATATTAACTCTTCTATTGATGTTGTAAGAAGGAAATAGTGTATAGATACATTGGTAATTGCCACCAATATTGCATTCTCAAAAAACTCACTGCAAAAGTACATTCTCATGGAATAATAGAGGGAAATAGATAAAAAGAAAGAGAGAGGGAGAGCCATATGCAGCTGAAAAATGATTCATTTACTTCCATCAGAAACTAAACTTTACAATTATTCCCTGATATTTTCTGATTGTACTATAAAGAGGGACAAAACAATTTAAAAATCCATGCAAATATACTTATTGTTGAGATAGTCTTGATAAAAAATCACCACCAGCATTCCAATTTATCATATGATAATATGAACACAAGTTAAAATTACCTCCAATATTGCAACCTTCCAAAGATTTGGATGGCAAAACCAAGTACTAAATACACAATACATTCTCTAATATCTCCATCTTCCCAATCTATAGGAGTAGCAAATTTCTTATTAGAAATCAGACAAAAAAAATGCATAACCTAAAAATCCATAGAGATTGAGATATCTAGAGAAGGGTGAGGTAGAGAGGTAGAGAGTTTTTCCAGAGAGAGAAAGGGAGGTTTTCTTACTGGTTAGAGAGAGTAGAGAGGTGGATCCGTAGGTAGCAGAAGATTTAGACAGAGGCTGAAGGAGAGTAGTGAGAGAGAGAACATATTTTTCTCTGAGAACGAGTGACGCTGCCCTGGTCATGCTGCTGGTGTGGTTTTCTAAGAGAGAGGGAGGGAGGGCGGGCAAGTGCGAGAGTGTGGGATGGGTGCCCTGGTTTTGCTGCTCGCGCACGCAAGAGAGAGAGATAGAGAGAGAAAAAGAAGGGGCAGTTGACTTCTAGTGTGGCTAACCTGGCTGGTTTTGCAGCATAAGGGATAGAGAAAGAGAGAGAGAGGGGTGAGGGGGGGGGGGAGACAGAGGCCGGTAGGTTCTGGTGTGGGTAACCTGGTTGGTTTTGCAGCCAGGGGAGAGAGAGGGGGAGGGAGGGAGGGAGGGGAAGAGGGCAATGAGAGAGAAATATAAGGAAGGGGCGGCGATTTTTGGTTAACCAAGAGAAAGGGAGAGAGAAAGAGGTCAAGGAGAGAGAAAGTGTACGGGGCTGGGATACATTAGTTTCCTGCGGGAATTATAAGTGAGGTTGCGTACCCAGTCTTATTGGGCAAGGAGCGAGAAAGAGAGAAAGGTTAAAGTATACGGGGCTGGGATACATTAGTTTCCTGGGGGAAACAAGAGTGTCAGGGTATTGGAAGAGGGAAAAGTTGGGTTTTTTTAATTAGGACCCCACCAACCGTCCAAATTGCGAGCTCCCATCAACACCATTGGACCATTGACGTAAGAGCTGTTTATAAGTGAGGTTGCGTACCCAATCCTCTTCCTCTATATATATATATATATATATAATTGACATGTATATCTAATTAATAAATTAATAAAAGAGTTAAGAACGTAAAATCCACATAGACATCGTAACTATCTATGTTATAGTAATATGAATTATGGGCGTGAAAATTTTTAAGTATTATTCTTAAGACGTAGGTCGGATCAATGGCCACATATTATTGTTTGCTAATTATTGTAAAATCTCTAATTGATCATTAAAAGAGAGATACTACGTTGGGGGACAGAAAGAGAATAAATGAGAGGATAAAGAGTTTGTGGAGTGAGGAGAGAGAATAGAATCCCTATATATGCATATTTAATTAATCCTCCATAATTATTATATATAGAGATGATAATTCAAATAAAAATTGGTAGTTTTTCTTTAACTCTTCTTAAAATATACATGACTAATAAATATTTACGTTGATGAGGAACCCTTGTAGCACTTCCTTATTAGCATGTACACCTTCCTTCTAAATTTGTAGGTATCTTTATCTCCTTTCTGTTGGATTTAGTTCTATCTAGCATCACCTACATTAGAAAATCCCATATTATGTAGGATTATGATATTCCCATATTATGTGGGATTGAGATATCTCCTTTATTCTGTGAGATTTATATTGATATTTGATAAGTTTCGTAAAGGAAATATAATCCACAAAGGATTAGGACTCTTGGATATATCTCTTAGTCTTTTGAGATATATGTAATATCAATAGGAAATTTCATATTTAGTATAGACTCATAATCTTATATATATGGGATGAAAGTGCAGAGAATTTGTGTGTCCAATTTGGATCACTATATGAGAATGGTGGTTCCTTTAGAGAGAAAGGGAGATAGAGTCTCATGTGTTAAGATGCAATTTTCTCTTAAAGAGAAGAGAGCTTTGTATGAAGAAAGACATTGATGATGCCTCCTGAAGACTCCTGTAGAGTAAGAGGTTGATTTCTTATAGAGAAGCAATTCCCATGGAGATTTGAGTTGTTTTTCCTTTTAATGAGATAAAATATCATTTGCTCACAAAGTTGTTCTCTTCGTAGACAGTGGTCTAGTCATGAAATGGACATGAGAGAATAGGCATGATGGCGTTTGGGAGAGCAAGTTTAAGTGAGTTTGCTCGATTGTGTTTTTGTCGAGGTTTGTACCCAAATCTTTAATGTAACTTTCATTGGTATAGTGGATTTCTTTTGGTTGTGCCCGTGAATGTAACCCTCTTGGGTGAACCACGTAAATCTTTGTATTTTTATGGTGTGTATTTCATTTTTTATTCCTCGTACTTTATTTGCTAAATTTTAACCCATCGGGTTTAGAGCTTCCATGCACAACAAGTGGTATCAGAGCACAACAAATGGTATCATAACCCTGGTTTGGAGTTTTCGGTATGGTGGTAAAAATTTCAAATGCATGGTTTGAGGTAGAGAAATTTGATGGCAATCACTATTTTTCTGCAAGAATGATGAATAAATTTATTTGGCAAATGATGAAGAATCTATAAAGCTATCTAATAAATGTTGGCATGGCGAGCAGGTGATTTTAATATGAAGGTGGAGATTGTTGGACTTGGTGCTATCGAAAATCACCCACATTAGAAAATCCCATATTATGTGGGATTAAGATATTCCCATATTATGTATGATTGAGATATTTCCTTTATTATGTGAGATTGATATTGATATTGATAAGTTTCCTAAAGAAAATATAAATTAAAAAAGGATTAGAACTCTTGGATATATCTCTTAGCCTTTTGAGATATTTGTAGCATCAATAGGAAGTTTCCTATTTAGTTTAGTCTCCTAATCTTATATATTTGGGATGAAAGTACAGAGAAGTTGTGTGCCTTATTTGGGTCACCAGATGAGAATGGTGGTTCCTCTAGAGAGAGTGGGAGATAGAACCTCCTGTACATAAGATGCAATTTCTTTTTAGAGAGAAGAACGCTTCCTATGAAGAGAAACATTAATGATGTCTTCTGAAGACTCTTGTAGAGTGAGAGGTTAGTTTTTTGTAGAGAAGTGGTTCCTATGGAGATTTTAGATTATTTCTACTTTTAGTGAGATAAAGTCTCGTTTTCTCTCAAAGTTGTACTCTTCCTAGGCTGTAGTCTAGTTATGGAATAGAGATGAGAGACTCGGCATGGTGTCACTTGGGAGAGCAGGTTTAAAAGGATTTACGCGGCTGTGTTTTTGTTCAGGTTTATTCCAAAATCTTTGATGTAACTTTCATTAGTATAGTTGATTTCTGTTTGTCGTGCCCGTGGATGTAGCCCTCTTGGGTGAACCACGTAAGTCTTTGTGTTCTTGTGGTGTGTATTTCATGTTTTATTTATCGTACTTTATTTGCTAAAAATCAACCCATCGGGGTTAAATCTTCTGCGCACAACACTTTCTTTTCCACTTACTCGCTCTCACACATCTTTGTCTTCTCCACATACTCTCTCGCTCTCTCTCACGTCTCTCTCACATCTCTCTCCCTACTTTAAAGATAGGGATTAGGTATCCTAGGCTTTTTAAGTTTATACTCTAGAATTAGGGTCCCTTCTTATTTTTGTGATATGTGTCAACGCCTTAACTATTGCTTAATAATGTAGTTTAGATATATATAGTTGGATTACATGTATTACACATAAGAATGCATGTGAAAATACATAAAATAAAATTTTTATAATTTAGAAGTCCGTATTGAAAACATAAAAATTAATCTTGAATCTTGATAAATTTCAAACATCGTGCTATGAAATATATATTTATTTAAAAATTTCTAAACGATGCAAAATTGAATTTCTACTTTGTGGTAAAGACAAAAAGTTATTTTC